AACTACTATTATTACTGGTTTTAATATTGGCATGAGTGTAATGATTAGTATTTCTGTTAATATTAGCATACATTTTAATATTAATATTTGTCTTAACATTATAAATCCGAAAAGTATATTGAATCCAAGTTGAATTTAAGCTGAGAGATTCTACTATGCCATATCAGGGTGATTCCTTTGGAGCTTGTGTTTGAGTTAAATATAGTTCTTCTCACCAGTTCTTGTCATCTCTTGCTTAGTTATTTCTCGCAGAAAACTAGAAGACAGAAGAAAGGGTGTGGGGATATCAGGGTGGCACCAGGAAGAGTATAGTTTAGGTCTCTGATGGTTTCCTATTGTCTACAATGCACTCTTGCCTTTCGGCCTTGTCTCCGACCACACTCTAGCTCACATCCCAAACTCCATCCAAATCTTACATAAGGTTCACCAGAAGCTGACCTGAAATTCTTGAGTAGCTGCACATGATTTATGGAGGGTGGTTCCTATGAGAATCCTTAAGGGAATGAGGAGAGCGCCAAGGAGTGCTGCAAGAATGCAGGTCCAGATGCAGCCTAGCTTCAGATGGATCCCATCAGGTGCATGGAGTATAATTTTCACCACAGAGTTTGTTTCACAGAGTGTAGGAGTTGGAGGTTCTAGGATAACTCCCAGGCACATCTAAGTGAAAAGGCTCCAATTACACAATGGCAATCTTCCTGAGAAGTTTGCGGATGTGGCCATGAATGAATAAAAGGGATTTCCATGGATTTGGTTGGAGGGATAAATAGTATGTGCTACAATCCACTTCAATATCTCACTGTTCTTTAAAACATCAATCCCTCTTACCACTTATCTTCTCACACATGTTTGTACCTTTGCTTAGATTATCCCTTACCTCTTTCTATTATCATTCTAGAACCTATTTCTCATTGGGGAAACCTGAGACAGAGTTGGTACTGACCCATTTCTGTTTCCACAGAACTCAGTTTATATTTATGATCATTACCACTATGTACCATAACTTAGCTGCACATATGTATAACTTGCTTAGTAATTTATGGTCTTCTCAAGGCCAAGAACTGATGCTTATTCAGTTCATATTCTTAACATATATTACCAAAAGAAAAGATGAGGATAGAAATATGTAATACTTAAGACTCTGATGTCCTTTAAGATTATGTCAAGCAAATGATGTGGTTGTCTTTTGTGTGTCAACCTGTGTTCATAATGTTTTGCAGTAAAAGAGGTTGCATCCAGCAGCCAAAATAACTTTGTAACTTAAGCAACTGATACCCATTTCATCCATGTGTTCAATGGTTGTTCATAACTTTTTCCAATAAATACTTATCAAGCATATGTGCCAGACACTTGGAGATCTGGAAGATACATGGGATCCAACTGGTCCAGGGCTCCACAGAATCTTACAGCTCAATGTCCAAACAAAACAAAACCAAAAAAAATGCACAACCGTAGCCTGATAAAACCGATTGGAGGAGCAAAGGGAACTATGGGAACACCCGCATGGTCTCAGACTTGTAGCTCATGAAAGCTTCCCAGAAAAGGTACTGCCAGACTTGAGGCTTGAAGGTTCAATGATTGTTAAAATGACCAATTTTTACAAATAAAATAATAATTGAGCATCTGGAATGGTTTTGCAGTCCATTTTAAGGGCCTCACAGTCTTTAATATAGATCTTAAATTTTTGAAAATAATTAACTTAAAATCAATTCTTTGTAATACCATGTAGGTTCAATTATGTTTATTATCTGTATCCTGATAGTTATATATCCAAACAATTCAATTAAATGTGTATTTAAATAGGTGAAATCTTTCTGTAAACCAGCTGAATTGCACTGTAGGAATCCTTGAGGAACCACAAGGATCATTTTAACTTTGCAAAATTTTACTTTTGGTGCCCTTGGATCTTTAGGTCTCAGAATACGGCATTTCTTGACTATTGTAAGTGACAATACTATGGCTTTACATATGTTAAATTTTGAAAAGTTTAACAAATTCCTTAAAAATCCCAAAATGGAATTACTGTATGACCCAGCAATTCCATTTATGGGTATCTATACAGAAGAATTGAGAGCAGGGTTCTGAAGAGGTATTAGTATACCCAGTGGTATAAAGTAAAATGTGGTTAAATGTATACACTGGAATAGTATTTGGCCTTAAAAAGGAGGGAAATCCTGTCACATGCTACAACATGGGTGAACCTTGAGAACATTATGCCAAGTGAAATAAGTCAGTCATAAAAAGAAATAAAAGTATGGTTCTACTAGTATAAGGTATTTAGATTAATCAGATTCATAGAAATAGAAAATGGCATGATGGTTGCCAGGGGTAAATGGGGAGTTGCTGTTTGATGGGTATACTGTTTCAGTTTTGCAAGATGAGAAAGTTCTGGAGATTGGATACACTTCAATGTGAATATAATGAATATCACTGAACTGTGTACTTAAACATGATTAAGATGGCTAATTTTATGCTATATGTATTTCACCACAACTTTTTTAGAAGTTCTAAAAAACTGGAAGTAATGATTTGTTTATATTTATTCCACAATCTTGAGGTGGGAGTGGTGAGATAAAGGAGTTCAGAAGTAATAGTGGCTCAGTTCAGACAGTGGTGTTGGAGACTGGTTATGGCACAGTAGAGCTCTGTCTCCTAGGCAGTAGGAACCACTGAACGACTTTAAAGGGAAGGACTTTATCAGTTTGCAACTCGGAAAGCCCTCTAGTGCAACGCAGGGGGCGGCCAGGAAGGGGGCAATCCCAGCCGCAGTGCAGCTGGTCCAGAGGCTGCTTCTATGGCCCAGCTGAGAGCTGATAAGAACCTGAATGGGAGCGGCGGTTAGTGGCTGCGGTGGGGGGACGAGGACAGTGTTCACTCAGTAATGACTTAAGATATAAACTAGGCAGACTCAGTGGTTTATTAAATTGGCAGATGGTTGGGGTAAAAGGCAGGATGGAGACTGAATGACTCCCACTTTTCTGGCTCAGGCGACTGCAAAGATGGTCGTGCCTCCCTGAGAGAGAATTGAAGAGGGGGAGGAGATGTGGACGGCGGATGGGCTGAAAGCCAGAGACACCAAAATGGGCATATGTGTGGCATTAGTTCACTCCCAATGAACATGTAACTGATCAAGAATGAGAGCTGAACTCGATCCATGTTTTGAGGCAGATTATTTTCCCAAGTTATTCATAGGGTTAGGAAAAGAGAAGTATGATATTTTGCAGTTCTCAGAAATGCTCTAACCTCATTTTGTTGTTTGTTCTCAGTGAAGTGTTTTCTCCCAGGCTGCTGACTCAGTTATCAGACTCGGGTGTCATATCCTTGTGGAACTGGAGGAGGGGCTTATGATGGTAGAAAGAGAACTTAGATTCAGATTACTGGATGGGGCCCCAGCTCTCCTGCCCACTAGTTAGATGACGCCGGACAAGTCCCTTCACCTTCCTGAGTGTTAGTTTTCAGCTAAGCAAAATGGAGCACCATAGGCAAGAAGGATTGTAATGGAAGGAGTAGATGAGAGTTCTTTGAAAATTGCGGTCAAGTATTAGCTGTAATTTTTGTTTTCAAACTAATATTAAGCTTGGAACATTGCAGGAAAAACTCCCTGGAAAATGCACATGAGGATAATCAACTTCTGTGTAAGAGTGCATAACAGATTCAATTGCCAGTCCTGACTGGTTCTTCTGGTGACTGTAATACAATGAGTCAGACAGGGCTGATGTCCAAGCAACCATGTTTTTCACCTTAAAAATGAAAGAAACATAGGCATGATTTTGTAAGAAGATGTGTTGGTACTTCCTGACATGGTGAAATTAACTGTTGGTAATAACAGTAATCAGGTATTGGGAAAAGGTCAGACATCACAGTTAAGCCTGAGATGGTTTTATGATGATGTTCAATCCCTGCTCCTAATACTCTTATACCATGATCTCACGGAAAGCACAGGCAAAGTGCAGCAAAGAAACATTTTCTTATCTGGGTTGGCAGTGGGTTATAGCATGTTCCCTTTTTCCTTTCACTGGTAGACCGACAGCCTTGAAACACCGGAACTCTCATCAGACAGCTCTAAAGGAAAAGGGGTGAGAAGCAAAGAGAGACAGAAAGATAGGAATCCTAGGCCAAGGCTGATGGTGGAGACCGACTCCAGGGCCAGGCTGTGCTCCACTGTGCCGTTCCTTGTCCTGCCCCCTTCCTCCGCAAGCTTCCTTAGATGGGCTTGGAAGACTCCAAGGATGGCTTTTGCTAGAGGATGCTTTTGCTGCCACAGGCATGTAGAAGGAAGATGATAAAGAAAAAAGGAAAAGCAATCAGGAGAGAAGGAATTATTGCCTCTTTTCCCTTAGGGAATCATCTGAATATAGGCAGGCCACTTGTCCTGATTTTTGAAATTCTTTAAAATAAACTTCCAACTTTGGAAACTGTGATATTTTGTCCCAGAATATGACTAATCTGAATCAACATTCTTCCTCTTTGGGTAGGAAAAGATGTCTTCCTTTTGAGGCCAGTACAAATAATGTGACTGGCAATAACGGTTTCTCATTTCCAAGGAAATTTAGGCCTTCAAAAATTCTGAAAGGAGATTAAGTTTCCCGAATGGTATGTATCAGAATTCTGTTCTCTTGCTCATCACTTTTTTTCTTCTCCATCCTTGACCAATAAATTGAGTACATAACTTAGCTACTCTGGCCATTTGGAGGATTAGCTCCCCACCTACGTAGATGAATCATCTCAGTTTCATTTGTTACCACCCTACTGTAGCTTATACGCAGAGTCAGTATATTGTCAAGTAAAAATGAGTCATTAGCATTGGCTGATGCTGATGGTTGGTTCAGGTTTGTGTTTGACCTGGTAAATGGGGAGCACAGAAACAGCCTGCACCACAGCCTCTTTGGTGACTCCAACCCTAGGGACACACTGTGTCCTGTGAATGAAGTGCGAACATGAAGCTTAGAACTGTGCCCTTTGCAAGCACTAATACTTTTCTTCTTTCTTGTCTTTTCTCCTAGAAGTATCGATATCAAGATGAAGACGCTCCACATGATCATTCCTTACCTCGACTAACCCACGAAGTGAGAGGCCCTGAACTTGTGCATGTGTCAGAAAAGAACCTGTCTCAAATAGAAAATGTCCACGGCTACGTCTTGCAGTCTCACATCTCTCCTCTGAAGGTCAGTCAGATTGCTCTTAGAGCTGGTAGCAGTGGTTAATCTACAACTCTAAGGGAGATATTTTTTGATCTGATTAAATGACGCTCTTTGAAAACACTCTTTTGAAAGTGGCCCATGGTTGCCCAAGGGTTTCTCTGTGGTTTGGAAGCTTGCCTGGAGCGCTGACACAAGGCAGTTTTTCTTGCAGTTATTCGAATGTCTGGAAAATCCTTTTGGTTGCAGAGGATAGGCTAAGAATAGAGCCAAGGGTAAAAAATTGAAAGGAGAAATAAGATCACCGTGTATTTTCAAAAGCCCAGGGATACATTAAGGTTTCCTTCAAATGCTCTCTCTCCATCTCTATTCCTGGTCCCAGATAAAACAAAGGGGAGTTAGTTGAATGTGAGAACACGCCGGGATTGCCTTGTCATGTAGACTAAAAGGGAAAATGAGTTGGCTCATCAATACCTCTGTTTTATACTCTATTTCTTTCTATTTGGTGCTGTACTTTTCCAACCCTTTCTCCTTTTTCTCTTTATTTTTAAACAGTTCCCTGATTAACAGTATTTTGACAAGAAGGGCAAATTTAATGAGAGTAAGGGTTTTCTGTGTTTCTTGGTTGCAAATGACTCTGCCTTTTTCCTTGCTGATGCTAGGGATTTTGTGTTTTGGATAAAAAGTTGATTATTAAAAACATAGAACTAGAGTTAATAATGTAAAAAAGAAAAGTCAAGTGAAAGACAAAGCAAAATAAAATAAGAAAGGAAGAAAAAACTACCAAATAACCCCTTGGTTGTTGCTAAAGGAAATTTTGTTTTGTTAGCCAGCATTCACTTCATCAGGGCTCTCATATAATTGTGTCACAATAAAAAAATATAGCTATAGAAATGGCCTAGATGCTTTCTGGGATCTTATCATGCCTTCCAAAAGATCCAAGAAAGGCTAAATTATGCTTAATATAGTTCCAAATTTTGGTACATTTTAAATATCCTGGCATGCTAAGAATGCATTCTCAAACTAATTCTAGTTACCACCAGTTAATTCAAATATTTGGCTAATTGTCTAATTGCAGTAAATATCTTGTAATCTATAAAACCATATAATATTATGCCTCTGGAATTAGTTATCCAGTTCTTCTCAGAGTCTCTTTGGAAGTCATTGAATGACTAATAGAAATAAGTGTGTTTTACCTGAAGAAGAAAAGATTAAGGGTCGGAGGACTGGGGATTTACTGTCTTACAACTCAAAGGCTGTCATGTAGAAAACACGATGTTGATGTGACCCAGAGGGCGGGAACACCACTGTGCATAACTAACAGGAATGTACGCTAGGGACCATCACAGGATCACAGCTCCTGACACTTAGAGCTACCCCAAAAAAGGTGTAGCCTACCTCATGAAGCAGGAGTTCCCTGTCCCTAGAAATGTCCCAGGTCTAGATGATGACTTGGCAGTGGAATTGTGGAAGGGGCTCTTCCTTCAGCAGGAGAGTATGCAAAATTGTCTCGGAGGTGCAGCCTAACCCTGGGAACCAGTGATCCTATTCTGTGGTCAGGTGAATACCTTCCTTCCTTAAGGACCCTTTCATCTTTGCAAACAAAGGCTTATTCTTACTCTGCGTGCTGCTCAGGTAGAGTGAGAGAGCGCAGAGCTGGGAGGCTGGATTGCATGGAGAGGATTTACATTTCTGGGTTTTTTTTCTACGTGGTTCAAAGAGTCCCTGTAAGAACCTCCATGGAGCCTCCCCATCCTTTTTTTCCTCCCAACTTGTCTTTCTCCCCTTCCTAGCACTTTTAATCAATTCTAGAGTGTAGCTCTCAAATGCTGTAAGCTGAGTAGGTTAATGGAGGCTAGTCTAAAGTTGGCGTGGTTATAGTAAAAATAAGCACAAAACAAAAGATGCGCGATAGGATCTTATTTTTATGTATTAACTCTTCAGAATATTCATGGTATTATAATTATCCAAATGTATAGTTTGAGTGATCAGGCCATTTATGGTGCTACTTAATGCCTCATTTGGAAAATGTCTATTAGAGTTGCAGGAAAACTTCACATTCTCTGAAGATCAGATTTCTGATATAAAGGAATTCTTTCTATGTTCCCTTCATTCCTTACCAGGAATCTCAGGGTTAAGTGTCTTCAACTTAGGTGGTTTCCTTAGCTTGGGTTTTCTGTTTCTGTTTCTTCCTTCTATATTATTTCTTATTCCATTCTTAAAAAAAAAAAGAATTACTGGTTTTTATGATTTTACTAGAGTGATATCTTTATTGACGGCACTTCACGGTCAGTGTTACAAATACCTACATATGAATAATAAACCCCTGATATGAGATGTCAAAGTTAGACTAGGTCTTCCTTCCTTTTTGGAACCATCAGCTCTGTGGAGTGACCCCCAAGGTATTATGACAAAATGGGAAGGTGAGTTCATTCAGGACTTCTGCACCCAGGCTGCAAGGCTGCTGTTTTGGGGCCAGGACTTTTCCCCCATGACCTTCTAGAGGTGTTGTTTATGCCAAATGAGATACGCTTTTAGATTGTCTTAATGAAGAGATTGTGTGCCTTTCTCTTATTAGCAATAGTAGTAGGGTACATGTGCACAATTTTTCTAGGAAAAAGTAAGTACCCGGATGGGTAGAATTTGCTGATTTCATGTTGTAAATACCTCATGATGGCTGATGCTGGACTACCAACCTGAAGCCACTGGATGTGTTTGGAAAGAGGGGCAACGAGGCTCCCAAGGGCCAGTAGGGTGTGGCTGCGGCACAGACCCGCATCACCAGGCTCAAGCACGTGTATTTCTATAGCAAGAGGCTACATTTCCTAGTCAGGTTGTTAAGGGTTATTTTATTATCACAGTTGAAGTCTTTGGAACACTGGCTATGATGAAAATCTAATGTGTTATTGTCTCATAAAGAAAACCTATTAGAGGCCAAAAGAAAAAAAAATGCTAAGAGAGCATGCATTCTCAATTAGACCTGGCATATTTTCAACCTAAAGTTTGCTGCTTTGACCCATCTGGTGTCCTTGGGTCAAACACTAAAAGGGGAAGAGTGAGGAGGCAAAACACACAATCAGATAATGCCCCTGAATCCTACTTAGGAGAAAATTGGCTCTCTGGTATTAATTGGGAATTGGCACATGCCATAGCTGAACAGCGGGTGAGGTTGCTGAATAACTGTTTAAATGTGGCCTTGAGCAGGCGCTGAATCATTAGCTGAATAATCTCACTGTTGCAGGTCTGACAGTCGTTTTTTCCCATCACCGTGTATCGTTTGAAGCCTCTGCTCTAAGATGCGTCTGCCCTTGGCTCACACCTGCTGGCTGGGTTGATAGATGGGCTTGCTTAGCCTGTTTTCATTTGAGTGCCTTGGCCAGTATGAAGTATGGGGTTTAGAAGGAGAAAGGTAATTTAACGGTGAAGTCAAGGGAATTTGTTTTCCTTGCCTCAAGATGGGGATGTTTTCTCTTCAGAGGCTACCTAGAATCTTCCACAGAAGAAACTGGCCTATAATAAAGCATGAGAAATTTGTTTTCAGGTTAGGTTAATTCAATAAACATCGAATATCTACTTTGTGCATTGTAACAGGTAATTGGGAAACAAAGAGTAGTAAAACATGATTTTTAAATATGCATATCACTCTCCTAGGAGACCTGAGTTCTAATTATTTGTTACTTATTCTTACTCTGCAAAAGAAATTCAAATTTCTGAAGCATGGGTACTGTGAGACTACAGGCATTGGCAGGGTACTCTGTACAGAGTACGGGTGGAGAGTGTGAGAGGGAGAGAGGGAGGGAGAAGGAAAGGGAGGCAGGGCAGGCAGCTTTAGTTTCAAGAACCTAGACATTAGAATACCTGGATTTAAATTCTGGCCCTTTCATTTAGCATCTGTGTGGCCTTGATCAAGTTAACTTCTCTATCTCAGGTTCCTCATCAGCAAAAAGGAGGTAGTAATAAAATTAACTGCATAGGAGTTTTGCACTAATTAATGAAATGGTACATGTAAACTGCTAGAATGTGCCTGGTACATGGTAAGCACTCACCAAATGTTTTTTTTGTTTGTTTGTTTTATTATTTTCATCAGCTAGCTACCATGACAAATAACCTTTTTTTTAAAATTTCATATTAAGGTATTATTGATATACACTCTTATGAAGGTTTCACATGAAAAAACAATGTGGTTACTACATTTACCCATATTACCAAGTCCCCCCACACCCCAATGCAGTCACTGTCCATCAGTGTAGTAAGACGCCACAGATTCACTATGTGCCTTCTCTGTGCTACACTGTTTTCCCCGTGATCTTCCACACTACCATGACAAATATCTTTAAATCACTTGCTTGATTTATTTCATTTCACCTCTATGAGCTATTATATCTGGTTTTAAAATTAGAGTTCCTTTCAACTGCAGAACCCCTGAACTAGTAAATGCCAGTCTTTTTAACTGAGGTTCCTCTGGATCCAAATCCTATATTCTTTATCATTCCTGTGCTGTTTCACCTTCCTCTAAACTACGCTGCGGTTTTTAAAGCGATCTTAGGTTCAAATTTTCATTTGTTGCCTCCACGTGTGTCAAGGTTGAAGGTCCTTTTTTCATAGTCTTCTCCTTAAAAATTAAGTAGATATTAAATATAAAGGAATGTGTAAGAATTAATTTTCTAAATGGGAACCATAAACAGTGGTGATAGATGAGAATATTATTAGGAAATAGAAGGAAAATAGATTCTGTCTCTAAAATATTTTAATCCACCTGGTAATAAACTCCCAAGAGACTGTGTTCTGCTCCCATTACAAAAACTAGTATTTGTGGGTTAGTTTCCTTTTGAAAAATCCTTTGCAATTATAAGAACTTCTTAGCAGGAGAGACACACTTTGTTCTGAGTAACTGAATAATTTTGTGCATTGAGGTTCATCCTCATGCTATAGGTGTATGTGTCATGGAAGAACACAGCTAAGTCCAGCCCACCCAACCCTTATGTTTCTCCTTCTCAGGACCTGGCAAGTCCATTCATTCTCTTAAA